CCTTCCCAGACTTAAGACCTAAGGTCTCAATCCTTAGCATATGATGATATGATCCTGGGGCAGCCACAGAAAGACCAGTTACGTCAGATTCCCACCCAGATGGTCCTCCAGTCTGTAGCAAAGGTGACACCACAACCAGCAGTGTTGTCGCCAGTAAATGTATCAGATCATTCCTCCTATTAATACAAACAGAAACATTCCAGACGAATTACCGATCTAAGTGTGAAATAAAAGGTTTGGAACAAACTGGATGACATCAACAATCCTAACTTGGAAGTTATATTCTTGCTGTGGAATATTAATATTTATTATTGATTTACCTTTTAGTTAAACACTGGTTATTCCTAAACCAACTGTATACCCAAATCACCGCACAGAGACTAGATCACAATGCTGGGCAATAGTCCATCCTAAACCTCCAAGCCCTCATAGTTTCCTCCCATTCAGATTTCCCACATTATACTTGCTTTTAGTCATATCTTGGGTCCAGTTCATCTCTCCTTGTGGTTCTAAGTCCTCTCCTGCCAATCCCTGCTCTCCTACTCTTCCCACTCACTTCCTTCTCTTCCCCTGCAGACCAGGATGTCCCACCCTATCCTCTCCATTGCTCAGCATTGTGGCTGGTTGTTTTATTGACAATACAGAGAACAAACTTGAACAAACTTGTGAATAAGCATCAAAATTCAATGTCCGGATTGAAACCAGGTAGTGGAGTAGAGAAATCAGCATTTGAATGAACAAGGGTAAATTGTATACATTCCACAAGCATATTATACCAACACATTCTCTAACAAAACCTTTTTCTTCTACTTCCATTCTTCCACTAAACCTTGTCATGACCTTGTCTCTTGACCCTTTGTAGTCCCCTAGTCTCAGAGTAATGCTGGGTTCACTTCATTTCTGCTTTCGGGTAGGCAGGAATATCTTGTGAACATCTTGCAGTGTGCGCACAGAGCAGGGAGCAGATTGTAAGTATGCAGCGTGGAGGCATCTTACCAACTGCAGCAGAATGCGCAGCCTACCCCAGAAGCTCTTCTTGGCCTTCAGCACCCAAGGCCTAGAGTAATTGTGAGTCCAGCTTCTACTGGCCTTGAACCTTACACACACTGGGTAGTGTATTCTTGTGTATGTATGTGTACGTAGATGTATATGCATGGCAACATAGCTGTGTCTGACTTATTTTCTCTAGTACACCGTCTGAGCTTCTGTCATATTTTGTTGTAACAGTGTATTCATCGTCACTACTCTGTAATTCTTTATATCATCTAGTCATCCTCCTATTGATAGACATTTATGTAGTTACAGCTGAGAATAGTTTTATGATGTCTTCTGTGCACACAACTACATTCCCACATTTTTCTTGTGCGTGCCCCTTAGAATGTAAGTGGTCATGCATAACTCAGCTTTTGTAAACACTGCCAAAGGCTCTCAAAGTGGCTGTTTCAATGGAGTCTTTAGGAGAGATGTGGGAGACATCTGGCTGTTTATATACTTGTTAACTGTTGGATTTTTCTATGCCCTTCTTTGCCCTTTCATACCTAATGGAAAGTGCATAGTGATTTTAATTTTAATTTCTCTGAAAATTGATGACATTGGATGCTTCAAAGTAGGTTTGGCTATTTGGCTATCTCATGAAAAGCCTATTTTTTTTTTTTTTCTTTTTAAGAAAGTGATTTGTGGGGGCTGGAGAGATGGCTCAGAGGTTAAGAACATTTGCTGTTCTTCCAAAGGTCCTGAGTTCAATTCCCAGCAACCACATGGTGCCTTATAACCATCTATAGAGATGTGGTGTGCAAGCAGAATGCTGTATAAATAATAAATAAATAAATCTTTAAAAAAAAGTGATTTGTGGGAGTTCTTTATATATGCTCTGCAGCCCACAGCCCTTCTTTCTTTCACTCTGTTATCTTTTCACACCACTAATGGTTTCATTTGATACCCAGAATTGTCATCATAGTTTAGCTTTTTAAACTTTCCCACTGTGATTAGTTATTTGTGTTTCCTGTGTTTTAGAAAATCTTGCCATTCCGAGGCCACGATGATACTATCCTGTTTGTTCCAAAATTTTTATTGTTTCTCCTTTCACACTTAGATCGGTAATTCGTCTGGAATGTTTCTGTTTGTATTAATATGAGGGATGATCTGATACACTGCTGGTTGTGGTGTCACCCTTGCTACAGACTGGAGGACCATCTGGGTGGGAATCTGATGTCACTGGTTGTCACCTTTGCTACAGATTGGAGGGCCGTCTGGGTGGGAATCTCATGTAACTGGTCTGTCTGCAGCTGCCCCAGGATCACATCATCACATTCTAAGGACTGAGATCTTAGATCTTAAGTCTGGGAAGGTAGCTTAGTGTTAGAACACATGCCTAGCACGTGAGGGCCTGGGTTTCATCATAATTATCACATAGACACACAGATACACAGATAAACATATATACACAGATATATACACCGATAAACACACAGACACACAAGTAGACACATATACAGAGACACACTCATAAACAGGTACATATAGTCACAAACATATACACACACAGACACACAGATACACACAGATAAACATAGACAAATAGATAAACACACAAGCAGATACACACACATACAGACAAACAGACACACAGGCACACACACAGATAAATACAGATGCAGTCACACACAGACACACAGATAAACACACAGACACATGCAGACAAACAGACACACAAAGAAGTCAAGGAGGAAAGGATAGAAGAGGGAGGGGAAAAAACTTGGTAAAACAGTGAGGTAAAACAGAGGAGCAGCCCTCAGGAGTTCAAGGTCTATCTTAGCTGCATAGGTAGCCTAGGCTATGTGATACCCTGTCTTAAAAAAAAAAAAGTCACTAATATGGTCCTGGAGAGTTGGTTCCATGGGTATGAACACTCGTTGCTCTTGCAGAGGACCAGGTTTGGGTAGCAGCACCCACATGGTGGCTCACAGCTGTCTGTAAGCACAGGCCCAGTGGATCTGGCGCTGCCTTCTTGTCTCTGCAGAGATTGCATGCATAAGTTGTGTAGACCTGCAGACAAAACACTCACACAGACCCAGAAAAACACAGATACTCACACACAAACATGCTCATAAATCTGAAAAACCACAGGTCAGTGAATAAATAAAACAGACACAGTACTTGATAGCCTGTGGTGGAGCTGTCCCAGCTATGCTGCTGCCGTTGATTGACATCTCAGTTTTGGACTTTCATCATGCAAGGGTCAGGGACACACACAAGTCTGCTAAACTTGATAAGAGTGGATGGATTTTACAGTTTGGGGAAAGTTGATATCTCTACTGTGTAGCAGTAGTTTTAAATTCCTCTTGACTTCCTCAATTCTTTTATTTCCTTCACTTTTTCTTTCAGTTATCCTGTAAGCCTGGCTTTTCTCAAGTGATCTGTTTTATTTAATTATGTGTCCAGGCTACTTAAGAAAATCAAATAAGGCTTTGATTGACTCTCTTGCTTATGACCTTTACCCTGTAGTTCTTATTTCCAGATTATTTCCTTTTCCTTCAGCAATTGTGGCAGTCTTTTCCAGCTCTCAAGTAACTGTCTTCTTGCCAAGTAGACTCATTCTTAGCAGGCTTATGTGTGGTGAACTCTGGAATGCAGCGAACTTATAGACTCCTTCATGTTGATGTTGAAGAAAGATTTCAGAGCCATTACCACATGGCACTTAAAGCTGTGGTTATGAAAAAGCTTGCTTAAATAGGGAGTGTCTGAGTAGCAGGAGAGAGCTACAAATATCCCTGGGGACTAACAGTTTAATGGTGAGCTGAGAAGCTAGGACATGTGACCTGTAAGAGTCCATATAAACAGGAAAAGGCACTTGTGTTGGGAACCAAGGAGAATGTTTCAAGTAGGCAATGGTCAGTAGGGGGAGAGAGGTGTGGAGGACACTGGAAGTGTGCAGCCCTTCAGCAGCTCAGAGTGAATGGAGCAGCAGCCAGGGAGGTGTCCTTGGCTCAGAGTGAGCTGTGCAGGCAGCCCCTCACCACCTTCGTGTGCTCTTTCTGGGCTGACAGTCAGGAGTGTCATTTCTGCCATGTCCTTCAAAACGGACACCTTGGAATATTTTCCCTTTCCTATCCCCTTCCCGTCATTTAAAAGATAACCAGGGCCTTGATTTTTAGTAATGTCTCTTTCCTCATGGGCTTCCTTGGCTTCTGCATTCAGCTGGAATCTCTTCTTCCTGGGTGTTCAAATAGCCCTCTAACTGGTCTTTAATACTCCGCCTACTACAGCCTTTCCCTCTCCCCTTCATTCAGCATGTGGCCCCATTTATCTTTCTAAAACAGGGTTTCCATCTTGTCTCTGCTGAGTCTCAGTACCTGTGCCGCTGCCCACTGTAGTTTCTAGTTAATAAATGTGTGAGTACTGTGCATGCCAGGCCTTGTACTAGCTACTGTAGGTACAGTGGCAGACAAGACAGACATAGGCTCCAGTACCATCACAACTAATGGAAAACAATGCCTGTTACAGATTGGACCCCACATACTCCAGCCACTTATGGCCACTTCCTTTACCCCCAGTAAAATCCATGCTCTGAAGTCAAGGCTTCTTTACATGTTTTTCTCTACCCAGAATGCCTTTCTTCTGTGTACCTATCATATTTTCATAGCAGACATTTTATAGTCAGATAACATTGGTTTTCTCCTAAGTAGCCATTGCTTGCTAGTTCCCAGAAAAGTGTCAATACAGGCTTGAATTGTAAAAACATTTTGCAGCTAACAGTGATGTTCTGTCCTGCTTCTTCCTGCTGTAAGAGAGGGTTTGGACATGAACTCTTTCGAGAGTGAGCTCTGTGTGGAGTTGAGCTTTCATACTGGGAGTCCTATGCCATGTCTCTCTGGTAGAAGAGAATGCATGGAGGAGAGGGGAAAAGCAAAAGCAGGCCCTGGGGTTCTGTGGAGAAACCAGCATTGCCATGTGGAGTATTTGGAGCCTTGCGTTTACGGTTGTCTCTTCTTTCAATGTAGACTGACGATGAAGACGAGTCTTTTGTTCTTGAGGACCCTACATTGTTAAACGTTGATACCATTGATTCTCACTCTTATGATACCTCATCAGTGGCAAGCTCAGACAGCGGCGACAGGGCCAACTTAAAGAGGTAAATATTCTTGTGTATAGCTGAAGTATATGATTATTTAAAGGCACTACCTGATGGTGCAGTCTGATTAGATTATTTAATGTCTGTGTCTTCACCGTACAGTGTAATTAGCTGTTGGAGGGGACATAGGTCAGCTGTGGCACACTGTCTGGAGCTTGTTCTGCATGGCTGCCTGTGCTCCCTGCACTCCCCATCCCCCCCTCCAAGGTCCGCTCCAGAACTCTTCATTTCCTTGGAGTAGCTTCAGAGGAGAATCTCAAGGATGATTAAAGATTGGGGGAAAAGACTTCGAACTCTAAATAACTTCAGTTTGGCTGCTTTTCACCTTCCAAATTCTTGGTGAGAGCATGAAAAGGAGACAAGTGGAGGAAGCGTAGTGTGAAATGCTTTATTGAATTCACGTGTGACTTGAATGCTGCCCAAGCGATCTGTGTTCTTAGGGTTCCCTTCTGTCAGTGCTGCCTTCCTTATGTTGCCGTCTTGCCACAGGAATCCTTGTAGGTGTGGTCACCTCCTCATCATAACAAATAGACTGGTGCATTTATGTCTTGCATTCCCTACTTAAAAGTGATTTCATGTTGCCAATCAGGTGTGTCCAACTTTTTGATGTCACAAGTTCACTCTTGAGAACCATGCAGTTTAGTTGGAAAAAAAATCACACACACAATCTCGTAATGGTTTACACAAGCTCCTGATTTGTGTTGAGCTGTGTTTATGGTTCTCCTGGGCTACATGTGGCTCACTGGGCACGAGCTGGTCATGACTGGCATGTGATAGCCAGAAATCCTGGGTGTGGTGCAAGTGCTGACGATGCTTACCAGTTTGAGCCTGTGTCTGAGCACTTCCACCCATGCATTCTGTGCCCGTGTGTCCTCACTGTTCCCCACACTGTGCCCTCCACGTCCTGATCCATCAGTAGATCAGACATCTGTTTTCTGGTAGCTGTGCCTCATCTTCCCCAGTAAGCAGGATACGTTCTTCTTTCTTTTGGTCCATGCTTTCATGTGTACAAGCTGTTTATCAGCCCTTCCTGCTATGAGATCCAAGTAGTAGGACCCATGACTCCCTCATTTTTTGGATCAGTAGAGTACATTTTTAGTCAGAATAGGCATACCCTGATTATTGTTTGGTAAAAGTTTAAGGATCCCTGTTGGATGGCGATGAGGGGTGTAAGTGAAAGGAGCCATAAGCAGGAGCAACAGAGTGAGGGACGAGTGAGGGTGAGGGCTTGAGAAGGTGTTTGAAGTTGCCACAGATGGGGGAAGGAAGGAGGTAGAGGTCCTGAGGCAAGCCAGGTGATACAGACTTATCAGTGGGGGTGGGGTGGGGGTAGACTATCAGCCTTCTGGAGAACAGGAGAACCCAATTCTGGGTCAGGTGGGCAGGGAACATGTTGAGCAGTAGAAGAGGAATTAGTTTATTCATTTTCTTGCTTGAGCCTCTCTGAGCCTCAAGGTGAGTTAGAACAGCTAACAATAATAACTATATAATAATTAATAATTACTAACAACACAGTGTTGCTTTCTGCTTTTTAAAATGTATTTTTTTCTCCATGCATGGTCTTTGGTTGGAGTATCAGTCTCTACAAAGAACCCCTGCACAGATATAGCCCATGGCAGCTCAGTGTCCAAGTGGGTTCCCTAGTAAGGGGATCAGGGGCTGTCTCTAACATGAACTCAGTGACTGGCTCTTTGATCACCTCCCCTTGAGGGGGGGAGCCTTACCAGGCCACAGAGGAAGACAATGCAGCCAGTCCTTATGAGACCTGATAGGCTAATGTCAGATGGAAGGGGAGGAGGACCTCTCTCACCAGTGGACTAGGGGAGGGACATAGGGAGAGAAGAGAGAGGGAGGGTGGAACTAGGAGGATATGAGAGAGATCCATAGAGCCAAGATACAAGGTGAATAAATTGTAATAAATCTAAAAAACAATTATTTTATTCTTTCAGAGCTTTGGAATCCTGTATTTCCAACCCTTGGATCCGTTAAATATTTCTTCCTCCTCTTTTTTCGCAGGAAGAAGAAGCTACCTGACTCTTTCTCACTGCACGGGTCGGTCATGCGGCATTCTCTTCTGAAGGGGATATCTGCACAGATCGTGTCTGCAGCGGTGAGTGTCTCCTGTCTCCACAGCTTGGTGAGCTGTGGTGATGTGGTGCAGCAGGGTGAGCAGAGCTCAGCTCTTCCCTTGGCTCAGAGTTTAAGAAAAGTACAGTCTGGCTTTTATGGTTTTCCTGATTATTTTTGACTTGTAAGACATGCAACACATCCTGACAAAGGAATTAGTGCAGCCACGAGAATAAAGGTCTGTGAGCAGTTTCCTGTGCCGAATGAAGCGTGCCAGCAAGCTGGGAGAACGCTGGACGGCATTCTCCCTTCCCTTGCAGTCCTTCCCAGGTTGCTTGCCATCCTCTGAGTCTGGCTGAGGCGAAGTGCTTGTTTTTCAGCCTCTTCAGACTGACAGATACGCTCAGGATATTTTACAGCCAAATGATTTAAACATAACTCACAAGTCCTCCACATGTGCCCCATTTCACTGACATTTCCAGTTGTGAAAGGAGGTAAAGTCGTCCTGACTTAGAGACTCGAAGGCCCCTCGGGGAGGAGGAGTGTTGCTGGGAAGGCAAGGGAGGCGGGTTGGCGAGTGTGGCCATTGTATGGTGGCTGCAGTGGAGTGTTTGTGGCCTGTTTTGGAATGTGTAAGAATACTGGGTTAGTGTGAGAGTGATATCTAAGTCAGTGGGCACCCAGCACACTCCTCCTTTGACCTCACAGCCCGCACGCGGATTTAGTCCCTCAAGTCTGTCTTCTGAATTCAGTAGGCCTGTAGATGATAAGGATGACAGCGTAATAATAATGATGATGATGGCAGCAGGGACTTCAGTGCTGCTGCTTTACATTCTTTTCATGGAGCTTAAGTTAACACTTTACATATTTAATTTAACTTATTTGCTAAGAGAGTAAGAGGGTGAGACAGTAGGAGTCTAGTTGCATTTCAGTTTTCATTGTGTTTCATTCAGTTTCGAGCAAGCTCTCCTGCAGCTAGGAGATGTTTGTCCTGGGTGTTTGGGGTGTCCTGACCCAGCTGATGCACAGAGCATCACACACAATGTTATGTAGAGATGGGCCAAACCGTGGAGAGCTGGGGAGTCCGCTTCCTTCGTTAGGTGGAGAGGAGCTCATATTTGCCAGAATGGAAACCACCTGTTGAGGATCATGTTTCCTTGACATTTTCAGAATTTAATCCTTATGTAGGTGATGAAATTCATTCCTTTCAAAATCAAGATGAACCACAGCAGTCATTTGACCCACCTGTGCAGTTTAAAAAATATTTTGAATAGTGGAGACTGAGTTCTGAGACGCTGAGCGCTGATTAGATAAACCTGTTGTTTAGAAGGGGCTTCCCTCCTTCTTGAGGAGGCAGCGGCAATTATAATAAATCGCAGAGTGTTTGCACTCTGTTCTCTCCGCATCGCTCTGACTAGCTGCTTTGGCGAGTTCAGATGACAGTGCTCTTGCTGCGCCAGGCTTGACGCGGTACTTTCCCAGCCTCAGGTTACCAGCTCCACTTCAGTTGCAAGCCTTGTGGACAGTGATGTTACCAGGCCTGCCTGGACCTTGAGCATCCTGGAGCATCCTGACTGTGGAGTCCATGCATGAAAACACACTTAGGAAACATGAAAATTTTGAGTCTTACTGTTTAATTTGGGATCCCTCTCAGAATAATGTGACTTAGCTTTATTTAAAATAAGTTGAAATGGGGTTTTTAAGGACTCTATCATTTTAAGGATGAACCTTAGGATACTATAGATACCTCAGCACAATGTTTTATTGTTGTTTAAAAACATGTCCACTGTGCCAGGCTCTCGTGGGGTGACTCTTAAAATGCAGCTTCGTGGAGATCGCCCACACCTGAACTGAGTCATTAGTGGAAGGAATCACGTGGCAATTAGCATCCCAGGTGACAGTCACACAGTGTGGCTTTCAGGGGTCACTAGCTGCAGCACCATCACTAATTCCACAATTCAGTTAATTCTGCCCCTCCCCTCCCCCTTCCTCCCTTCTCCATTTCCGTCTCCCTCACTCCCCACCTTGTTCTGCTTTAGCTCATTGCTCAACGATGTCACTTGTATCCATCCCATTCATCTCAACTTCAAGAGTGTTTTTATTTTTTAATAGCATACAAAATTGCAGGCTTCCTTATGGCATTTTCATAATATTTACTTTTGGTTGACCCATTCCCTACACTCTTCTCCCCTCATTTCCCTACTCCACCCCAGTGAAATTCTGACTTTAAGTCTAAAATGTTTTCCACATCTGTCATTTATATCTTTTGAAGTCAGATGGCGTCTACACTCATTTGAATGTAGTTTATGTTTTTCATCTGTGCTCTCATCCCTGCTTTTCTCTATGCAGAACAGAACACAAGTCATATATCAAATGTTTTTATCAGGCCTTGTGTCAGCTCTGGATGCTAGATGAAGATGCTGTCACAGAGCTGTTATACCCAAGCTGTGGTTATTACTTAAAGCTATTTACGCCTCAGATAGACACCTGTGTGGCATTCCTTGCATTTAATTCTGTCCCAGGATGTTAGGATTGATGGGGTAGGACTTGCTAGTTCCCTAGGCCCATGGAGATTACTGTCAGACAGTTGGCGGCTTTTGTGTCATGGTCACTGGTGAGGAGCTGAAATGGCACCTGGTGTTTGGCCTCACCATGCTTGAGGAGGGACTTGCTGTTCCCCAATGGGCTTCATTCAGATGCTGGAGTTAGTCTGCTGGAGGGGAGCCTCTTACTCAGAGGTGGAGGGGGGGGTCCTGCAGCAAGTTCCCCTTTTCTGGAATCTTTGATTCCACCGTTTTGGTCCTCTAGGACTTCTAGTCTGTTTTCATTATGGAAAAACAAAGGTCTTTTCCTCTCTTCTTTAAGTTTCCTTTTCTAATCAGCACCCGAAGCATCCGCTACCATTAGTAAAATAAAATGATCTCTCATGCTCGCTCATTTTGGTGTTTACTGGTCTGTAATCATGCTACCTGGAGGGGCAGGCGAAGGGTGCACTTCCTCCCTAAGTTGTTCAAAGTGTGCATAAAGAGAAACCTCACGCTTGCTTTCAGTACCATTTTCTTTTCAAATTCTTCTTTTTTAAAATCTCATTTAGGACAAAGTAGATGCTGGCTTGCCTACAGCAATCGTAAGTATACCTTTAACCCCTCAAGGTAAGATTTTTAATTTCACTGAGTTCTCAGGTTTATTTTCAAAATATTCAGTGCTTTTATGGTAATTTCTTAGGTCATTTTACTCTTAGTAATCAAGTTTAAAACTTGCTCATATTGGATTTTGGCTTTTCCACTTTATTGCTTAGGTCTTGGCTTTTGCTTGACAGCACGTAATGGAGTAACAGGCCTCTCCAGCGTTCGTTCCCCTGTGAGCTGTGTCCCTTTTTCTGTAAGGGCTGGAATAGTGTTGCGTGAGCTCACTATGTGGATGCACATTCCACAGCTCTGGACTCCAGGCCCCGCCTGCACACAGTGTCTGCAGTGGCTGTGGCAAGCTGGCGGGGGCTTGAGAGCACATTAAGGACCTGTCTTCTGGTTTCCTTCAGCTGCCTCTGCGGCTTTCTCATCAGTCGCTGTGAGGAAGTGGGCCCAAGTGGAACATTTTGCTGTCTTTTGCCTCTGCTGATGATCTGGAGAAAAGTATTCTCATCCCTCTGAATTGCTAGGAGGCCCTGTGTGGGCAGTATAAGTACCTCCTTAGCGGGCTGCCGGGGAAAGGTTTCTTTATTTTATTTTAAAAAAAGTTTTAATTATTATTTTTTTAATTTTAAAGTTGCTTTAAAGCAGTGGTTCTCAACTTCCCTAATGTTCTCAACTTCCCTTTAATATGGTTCTTCATGTTGTGGTGGCCCCACCCCCAACTATAAAATTATTTTCATTGCTACTTCATAACTGTAATTTGGTTACTGTTATGACTCCTAATGTGAATATATCTGTGTTTTCCGTTGGTCTTAGGGAACCCTTGTGAAAGGTTCATTTGACACCCCCAAAAGGGTTCTGACCCATATGTTGAAAATTGCTGACTCAAAGGAAGCCAGATGACATAGTTTATATATAATACTAAATATATGATATTTTGATAAAATTTCTCTTAAATTTAGAGTAATACTTAGAAATAAAATTCCCCTAGGTTTGGTTTCTCACCTTGCTTTCTGGGTGAAGTCCCTCATGTAGTGGTTGGCGTGTCAGTGGGTGGCTACAGAAGGCAGGCCGGCAAAGTCACCACTCTTCCTTTTCCCGTTTGTTTCCAGGCAGTGTCCAGCCTGATAGCAGTGGGAACATCTCACGGATTGGCTTTGATATTTGGTAATTTTCTAAGTACTTTCATATTTTAAATATTAAGATTTCTCTAGGTTTTATAATGTCCTTTAATTGCATTTTATACGGTAGATTTGATGTTTATGACACAACAAGGAAAACATGAAGAAGTAGCTGTTGCTATCCTTAAGTTAAAAATTCCTTGACTCAAGGCTTCCTTTTCCTATGCACTGCACGTTTCCTTCCCTCCGTATGCATATGTAAGGCGTTACTGCTGGCACATCTGTTGCTTTCTGTGCACCTAGACAGAAGGGTAATGTTGGAAAGAACCTTGGCTTGTCAGCATGTCTCGCTCCAGTTGGTGATGGTAATAATTTTTTATTCTAAGTTTCATTCCAGTCATGGGTGCTCAAAACAGACTTGGGGAAAGGGGCTCCCCAGGTTTCAGAGTCCTTTCCATTGTAAATCTTTCTAAACTGAAAAATGTTAGCCTGTAATTACCATGTTTTCTAGGAGAGTGTGACTAGCTTATTTACATAGTAGAAATTAGTTACATTCTTTTATCTTTCTCTGAGACTAAGTAATCAGTTTCATTAATTTCTTGATTTTAAATTCAGTATGCAAGCAGACTATTTTGGTATTTTAAAAAATATGAAATCCACCAGATAGTATTCTCAGCTCTTTTTGTATCTGAGTGCTCTCTTCTGAGTCTCTAGACTTGCATTTTTTGGCTGGAAGTCTAGGGCTGGCTGGTAAGGGTTACTTGAAGTGTTTTATTAACAGAACCATAGTTTGATTTCTGTAGAATCTTAGATTTTTACCGTCTGTGCAAATAACTAGTTATTTTCCATTGTGACTGAACAATTTGACTTTCCATTTATAAATTTTCCATTATTACCAAAGCTTTATTTAACATATAATTGTAATACCTATTCTTTTCAAATGTGGTTGATTTAAATAATAGAGTTTTATTTCTTGAAGAGCAGAAGGGTAGAAACAAAAGTGCAATTTCCCTGAGAGAACTTTTGAATTAAGTTTTTAAATGGCATTTTTCTTTATAATTGTTATGTATCCATAGTAGAACACATACAAAACATGATGTGTGCAAATTAGAAAATGTAAAATATGAAATTCTAGTATGTAGGACAGATCTTTAGCATTTCTCTGTAAGTACCCAGCCTTTTCCTTACATATGTATGTAGTCGTGTGCATGTCCCTAAGGGAGACCATGAGAATTCAGAGCCTGTCTTTCATTATAGTGGCCATCTCCCCATGCATTTCTGTATGTGTATGTGGCATCGTCTTTGTCTGTTTGAGATGTCTCACTGTGTAGCTTAGGCCTGCCTGAACTTGCTGGGTGGCTTGGATTGGCCACAGACTCAGGGCAGTCATGTTGCATCACTCAGCCTCCCAATGTTGAGAGCACAGACATGAACATCATTTTAATGGACACACAGTGTTCTTTCAGATGGATTCATGAAAACTTAATTCGCCTTTTGCTGTAGAAAACCACTTAAGCTGTTTCTAAACAGTAGTGTCATTTACAGCTTTGTTTCTATATATATATATTTTAAACATATGATCATGTTTAGAACAAATTCTTACACGTGGAATTGTTTGGGCTGGGACATGAACATTAAAGACTTTTCCTGTTCTTGCCTAATTGCCTTCCAGAAAACTGTGTGAGCACAGTCTCCAGCAGGTGGGGACATCCTTGCTTTCCTTTAAGGGGATAATCAGTATTAGATCATTAGACTTTGGGGAGGGGTCTTATAGTCTTGTTTCAGTGCGCTAATTTTATGTGTATGACGTGACTGAAACTTGACATGCACAGAGTCAAGTTCAGAATTAAGGGACAGTGGCTCCTAGCAGTCCCTACTATTTTCAGCAGTTCTTTTTCCTGAAAGAAAAGGAGGCAGAACTGCAAAGAATGAAGAAAAGAGAAGGACTAAAGGTGACTGAGGACAGAGTGTGTACTTATGCCTATCTGTCAGAAGAGTGTATGTTGATATTTTTCTTCCTGTTTAGTAGTGGTCAGTTTCCCTCAACTCTGCCTTTTTCTCTGCATTCCTTATCAAGAGACTGGAAGAGTGTGTGACTGCTTTGTCCCTCATGTAGTGCTTACAGCACACAAGTCTGTTAGCACGGAAGTGTGTAATTCCTTCTTGATGCCGTCTCTGTTTCCTTGGACCTGCCTGCTGTTTATCTAGAGTTCTCAGCAGCCTGCCTGTAGACATGAGGAAATGATAATCTTTTCTTATGGCTTCACGGGAAAGAGAGCATACCAGAGTAAACATTCTGCATTGAGTTTTAATAGTGTAGTTAATAGATTTTAGTCGTTTGTAGGAGACAGATGTTTGGACAATGCTATCTACATTAACAGACACATTAAAATATTCTAAAAAGTTCAGAAACAAATGGGAGATACTATTAAGTGTCTAGACTAGTGGTCTGGGTTAAATATATATATATATATATATATATATATATATATATATATATTTTTTTTTTTTTTTTTTTTTTTTTTTTTTTTTTTTTTTTTAAAATCTCTGTTGCTGTGTGGCTCTGTAGGGTAGCACTCCTGTAATTCCAGCACGGGCGGCAGAGGCAGATGGATCTCTGAGTCTAAGGTCAGCCTGGTTTACAGAGTGAGTTCTAGTTTACAGACTGAGAGCCAGGGCTATACTGAGAATCCCTGTCGTGAAAAAAGAAAAAAAAATCTTTTATCACAGAAGAAACCTAGCGGAAAACCGACTTTGTTTGATCACCGTTAGGTTCTCTGTGAAACAGTCTGAGCCATGGAAACAGTAACCACACTTCTGAAAGGTGTGTGCAGGTACAGCATGCAGCACTCGGTGTGTCTGTACTCTCACCTCCCACAGCCCTCACTCTTCCCTTTCCCTTTGTTCCCAGTGTGCTCTGGCGCTGTCTCTTTGGACCTGCTTTGTCTGTGTATAACAGAAACGTGGGCTTTCTTGCTGTGCTCTAACCTGAGGGTTGCATGTTTTCTCTTTCCCCAGAACCAATCCCTGATGGTAGCCACAAATGCTAGGAACATCATCTAATCAAGTTCAGTGTCTGTCACTCCCACAGATAAACAAAGTTCTTTACTCCTCAGAGCTTGCCTGCATTTTTATTCTGAACTTTTGAACTGATTTCTTGCCTTTCTCTCCCTCTCTTTTGATCTTTTCTCCATGGATTCAAAAGGAAAAGGTATAGTAAATTTGGTATGCACGAATAGTTCTTTTTTTTTTTCTTTTGAGCTTTTTAACACTGAAAGCGAGTATTGTCAATTACACTTAATGCCTTCTTATGAAAGAAAAATAAATAGCTACCTAGAAATTGGTTAAAAAAGGCATTCTGAACAATTCAAAATATGTGCATATTTTAAATGCTTTCTTTTAGTTAAAAATATTGGATTCTTTTAGATAGTTGTCAGTATGTATGTTCTATTTCCTCCAACCTTTTAATACAGCCCTGAGATTTTTCTTGAAGTTTGTGTCAGCCAGTGGATGTCTGCAGCAACATTTTTTTTTTTTTTTGTCATGAGCTTTATCAGTAATGAGTCACATAGAATTTAAGCCCATGTCAGTTAATGCATGGGTGCAAAATTGTAGGTTCTAACAAAACTTTGCTGTAGTCTTTTACTGTAACACTATCTTATTGATAACCAGTTTCCTGATACTGCTGTGAAGTGAAGTGAAGCCTTGTCCAGGTTTTTCTGAAACACCTGCTTTGTGTTCACAGCAACAACAGCTCTTCTGTTTGTCCTCTGGCCTGTCAGGGCATGGGCTGCTTGAGTTTTTAGGGTATGCTAACATCACAGTGGCACGGGTGCCTAGGAATGCATTCTAGAAGATAGCCAGTTAGCTGTGGGATTCATTAGAAATTGTCATAGGAGTAAGGATTTGGGTGTATGCGCTGGTCAGTTAAAGTGAATTTATTATTTTGTATCAAATGTGTTTTATAATAAGGTCTCCTTTTTTACTTTGTCTTGGTGCTAGAGCTTATGAATGAATAAAGGATAAGGATGAATGAATGAATAAAGGATAAGAAAATTGCACTATTGAGTGGTGACTATTAAATAAAGGATAAGAAAATAGCATTTGGGAGTGGTGACTGCTGGCAGGGTAGACTTACTTGCTCACAAGTAAATTTGATTCCTGTGGCTATATCCTTCTTTGACTATCTTTGAAATTAGTTAAAAATTAGAAATGAAATATAGAGGACTGAATTCTTTTTGGTATATAGAAAGAAATACTCTTAAAGTATGTTCAACTTTAAATTCTAAGCTGTTATCTGTGGCCTCATTCCTATTTTTCCTGTTACTGTTAAGCCCAGCATGAGGTCTGCCCTAAGCCAAGTGTGCTTTGAGCGGTCCTTATCCAAATGCTGGTGTCAGGAGTGCTTCAGAGTGTGCCTCTTTTGGATTTTGGAATATTTGTATAGCCCTCACAGGTCGATCATCTCTAATCCAGTGTTGGAATGTCAGTCTGATGCTTAGGAAGGATTGGATTTTTGAGTACTTTAGGTTTTGGTTGTTTGGATTAGGGATGCTTCTAAAGCACTAATGAAAAATATGTGTAATTCACTGCAGTGGCAAATAGCCTTCCTTTTTTCTTTTCTCTTCTTTTTGCTTTGAGACAGAGTATCACTTTGTATTTCTGATTGCCCTGGGATTCACTGAGTAGATCAAGTTGGCCTTGAATGTGGCAGGCCTTCTGCTGGTGCCTCCTGCCTAGCTGTGTGCTTTTTGTGATTCTGGACTTAGAGTCCTCTTAATTAATTTGTAAGCTACATTATTGCTGCTAATAATAACTTCTTGCATTTGTGTCACTTTGTAACTTTTAGGTTGTTCATAGACATTTTGTTGTTTGAACTTGAAAATGCAAAATGTGCAGGAAAAGTGATGGTCTCGTTTTATATTTCTTGGCTGTGTTGCCTGCTTCATAACGTCAACATCGTTTTAAAACAGGAAGTTGACAGTGTTAAGCAGACATAATTTCATGCCACTTTGTGTGTGAAAGTAGCTGTGTGATGAATTGAGTCCATTTCCTGCTCTGCTAGACAGAGGAGGCTCCAGGATTCCGGGAGAGCAGAGCTAGCTCTCCCGGGCAGAGTTCTCAGCCTCACCGTTCTTTCTTCTGTGTGTGCACTTTGGTTCCTTCGCTGTGGCGGCGCACTGTCGCAGTTTTAAGGAGGCTGCATGCTGTCTCAGCCTACCACTCCCCCAGTTGTGCAGATTTATTTGGACAGTGGAGAGTTTAGCCCCTGTGGTAGGAGAAACCCACTCTTCTGTCCATGGAAGCTGCTTCTGAAGCGTGCTTTACACATAGCAAGCTTAACATACCATAAAAAAAGGATGTATACATATAAAAATTGAAAGGTAGCTTCGTGGAGTCGAAGTACATTATATTTTATATGTAGTCCATCTCCTGCCACCATCTTTGCTACTTTAAAAAGATTGTGTGTAAATATAATCTTTTGGAAACCTAGTTGTATTCGAGGGCATTGAATTGGTCCTTCATATTTGTTATTTTACTTTAATAATTTGTTCTCTCAGTAAAGCAGTGAAGTGATAGACTTTTCCACATTGTGTAGATGAAGGTGGGAGGTTAAGAGAATGTAAGAACATCCCTAGGGGCTGGAGAGATGCCTCAGAGTTAAGAGCACTGGCTGCTTTTCTAGAGGTCCTGAGTTCAATTCCCAGAAACCACATGATGGCTCACAGCCTTCTATAATGAGATCTAGTGCCCTCTTCTGGCCTCAGGTGTACATGCAGGCAGAGCACTGTATAAATAATACATAAAATCTTTCAAAAAAAAGAAAGAAAGAAAAAGAAAAGAAACATCCCTAAAATTGCACATAGAGCTGCAGTTCCTCTAGTTCTTTAGCAGAAGTTAAAATAAAATCCAGGCTTCACTGGCATGCTGCCTTATCAGGGATATTATAAAAAAAAAAAAAGATAAAAACATTGAAGAAAAAAAAAACAAGGGAAAAATTGAGAATCCTTTCATTGATATAGACTGTAGGATGTAAAGTTAGCATATATTTTAGGAGTGACCGAAGTTGGTAATTTAGTGTCTTTCCTCTCTTGACTAGTTTTTATTATGTGGGAACTGTAGGCAGGGAAGCATAGGCATTTATAGCTTTTCTTTTGACAGGGTCTCATGTAACCCTGACTGGCCCTGAGCTTGTTATGTAGCCGAGGATGGGCTTGAACTCCTGATCCTCCTCCCTCTGCTTCGGAGTATTGGAGTCATAGGTGTGCACCATCATACCTGGCCACACATAGGTTTTTACTGTAGAAGTTAGAAATGCCTTTCCCTTCTTCTTTTTTCCATTGCTATTTCTGTAGTTTTCCCTTTCTTAAGTTTTATGCTATCTGTTTGATTCGATTTCTCAGTTTTCCTGCTTTCTCTGACATATAAGAACACTTAATTTGAGGTGTGTGAAATCCAAAGCGACAGCAAGCCTGCTAGTGCTTCAGAACCTGTAGGGCCTGGATCACAAAGCAGGGCTGCAGAGGTCTCAGCACGTGCTGTGTGGACACTCTGAGCCTGGAAAGTAGGCAGCCCAGGCTTGGCAATTTGAGAGCGAGTGTAAGATTTCATCCTCAGTTCTCTGCTTCTTCCGGTTATTCCATGTCCTGCCTGTACACCATAGTAGTACACAGAGAGTACCATTGCCCAGTCATGGTCAGCTTGTGACTCCAGGTGTGTGGATAATCCACTAAATGTATAAGGTAGATCATGGAAAACACAGGTGTAGGTGGTTTCAGTAGAGCAAAAGGAGCATGAGGTCAAAAGAGGAGGCAAGAAGTTCTAGAGTAAAAGGTTTTAATAATAAGGGTTACATTAAAGATAAAAAGTTAGTGGGGGTCTAGTTTGGATATGTGTCTGTGAAAAACTGTAATTATATAATTCTGGATATGAAACAAAGGTAGGACTTTTAAAACACACCAGACCTTGTATATTTATAGCTTTATTCTTTTTGAATATTTACCTTCAGAGTTTGAAATCTAAAATAACTTAAAACTGTTGAGTATTTTCTGCGTGCCGGATGCAATACGCCATTAATTGTCGCAGGCCTCCTTGCATTACAGCCACCTTACCAGCACAGAAAATTATTCGTACAGTGTTCATTTTGGATGAGGGCATCAGAACCCTGGAGCTGCAGTAAGTTGTGGCATTTAGTTGTGAGCTGCTCTGTGGGTGCTGGGACCCAGGCCCGGATCCTCTACAAGGACAGCAAGTACTGTTAACCACTGGGCCATTAATTTATTTTATATCATTGTTTGCAAATAGATAGAATCCACGAACTCTCTACAAAATGGGCATTGGCTAGGAGAGGACCTAGGGTAGTTGCACTTAATTGTTAGGTAATAACATCTAATAAATATTTGAGTACCTCCTAGGAAAACCTAGAAACAATTTTTCTAAGGTAATTTAATTGTTTACTTTAAAATTTTGTTTTCACTCTTTCAGTTCATTTGCTTCATCAACCCTTTCTATGTGGATAGCGTAAATGTAAATTTTAACAAATTCTTCTTTTAAAATTTATTTAATAACAAAAATGTTATTTTCTGCAGATGGGTGTTTTTGCCTGCATGTGTCTGTGCACTACATGTGTGTAGTGCCTGTGGAGGCCAGAAGAGGGCGGCAGATCTGGGACTGGAGTTTCAGACTGTTGGGAGCTGCTAGGAACTGAACCTGAGTCCATTGAAGAGCAACTGGTGCACTTAACCACTGACCCAAATTTTAAATTAATGCATTTTGAATTTTGAAGTTTTCAAAAAAAGTGCCCTTGAGGGCTGCAAATGGCTCAGTGGGGTCAGAACACTCACTGTCTAAGCAAGAGGATGTAGGCTCAAGTGCCTAGTACCTACATAGAAGCTGGAACGGTTGAACCTGCCTCTAGCCCCAGTGTTGGGGCATGGGGACAGGTGGATCCCAGGAACTTCCTGGACAGCTGACATAGCCGAACAGTGAACTTCAGGTCCAGCCAGAGGCCCTGTTCAAAAAAGGGGGGTGGGGGTGGAAAGAGCAATATTGGAAGACGCCTACCATCCTCTTGTGGCCTCTGCAGGTGTACAGGCATCTGCACCTGCAGTCATACACACTCACACACTCCCGTTCTCCCTCCCTCCCTGCAGCCTAACATTTTAGAAATACCAAAAAGTTCAGTTGTAGGATGAGGCAGCTTCGAGATAGTTGGTTTGCTTAAGAGAAAATAGTTTCTTATGAATTTCTGACTTGTGAGCAAGTTTTGACTTACATTTTCTTATAGGTGTTACTGTGTTATCTTAGTGTGTAATCTTGCTACCCTTCTTCAGATCAGAACCAAGCGCTGCGGCTCTGCCTGGGTAGCACTAGTGTCGGAGGGCAGTATGGCGCTGTCTCTGCTCTCAGCATCAACAACGACTGCTCACGTCTTCTTTGCGGCTTTGCTAAAGGACAGGTAAGAGAACAGTTTTGTCTACCCTCAAGGTGACGTCAAAATGAAATCTGAATATTTTGTTGAGTATTTTGAAGATCAGAATGCATATTATGTGTCTGGAGATGACATGCCTATTCGGGCCAACCCGAGGTTTTTTAGTCTGACCTGTGTCTTGTTTAGATTTTAAAAGTAATTGTTGCTGACTGAACTGGAGTCTGTAGTTTTCACGTTGTAATGGCATCTATCTTAGCAGTCCGTTTATATTCTCTTATGGTAGTTGTACATAATTGCGGTTGCTTTCATGTCATTTTTGATGTGTGTGTGTGTGTGTGTGTGTGTGTGTGTGTGTTCATGGGGTGTGCACATGTGTAGAGTCTGAGGGAGAGTGTCAGTTATTCGCAGTTACACTATACTAGTGAGTCCCAGGGATCTTCTTGTCTCCACTCCCAGGACTGGAACCACAAGCTGTGCCGCAGCACCTAGCCTTTTTTTTTCCTTAAAGATTTTTATTTTAAAGTATGTTTCTGTGTAATATGCACCCACAGCACAGGCCCACTGGGACTGGAGGCGTTGGATCTCCTTGGAGTTGGGGTTATAGGCCATCGTGAGCTTCCTGTGTGCATGCTGGGAAATGATCTCAGATCCTCTGCAAGAGAAGCAGTGCTCTTCCCTGCTGAGCCATCTCTCCTGCTCCCACAGTTGACATTTTTACGTGCATCTGAGGGATGAACTCAGGTTCTCATGATTACAAAGCAAGCATTTTACCAACTGAGCCATTCCCTGCCCCTCACCCCCGTGGCCACTCTTAAATATGCTGTTCATATTGCTGTGTTTTCAAACAATAGCCTTGGCATTTCCTTCTTCGTGGAGAGAGGTCATGGTTTCTTTCATTCCCTGACCTTTGTATCACAGCTGGTTTGATACAATGCCTTTTCTATGCATTTTCAGTCAGTGCTCAACAGACTGACTTATCAGAAATCACAGTCTAAGTGTTAAGTGGGCTAGGCAGAGGGAGGGCCCTGCGATGAGGTAAAGGCACAGTCCCAGCTTGTGGGTGTGTTTTAATGTGATGACTTTCTGCCTGCAGTGTTTATAGATGAGGAATAGGTTATTTCAGCCAAGAGGCAGGATATGTAAGTCCAAAAAGCAATACATTTGTTTTTAAAGCCTTTGCTTGTCTTACAGATCACCATGTGGGATTTGGCCAGTGGAAAGCTTCTCAGATCAATAACAGATGCTCATCCCCCGGGGACAGCGATCTTGCACATCAAGGTGACAGCACCCCTCCCTTGTGTTAGCTGTCTTCATTGCTGTGCTTCTGTAGCCACATTAAATGCTTGATAACCAGAAACCCCTAAATTAATTTAACACAAAGCTGAATATTATTTGATGAGCCTGATGAGTTATTTTCTCAAGTTGAAAACCAGAGATGGGCTAGTATGAGCATACTCAGCTGCGGGTTTAACTGAAGTCTAGCAATAAGCAGCAAAAAGGCCAACTTGATTTGATCCCATAGTAGAAGTTTGGCAGCAGAGAAGCAATACCCTGCTAAACACTCATATGGAGATTTTAAACGGTCTCTTTACCTTGTTCAATTGGCCAAGATTTTATTGTTGAGGAGTGTACGGCTGCCCATTGTTGGGAGGTGCCTGAGGCTCGAGGAACCAACTCTGGAAGAGCCAGGGCTTGGCTTATATTTAGAAATGAATCATTTGGTTTATTTTCTTTCAGGCCTCTAAAGGGAAAGCATTAAGGTCGCAGTGTTGGCTTTTTACTCTCAGGCCTGAAAAACATAAAACTGACTTAGGTAACAGGCTTCATTTATAGTTCATGAGAAGCCTGCCTTTTCATGCTGGCAGGCCCATGTTCAGAAGCATAAAAGGTAAAGGACTATATCAAGGGGATTCTAAAATCAGCTCTTCTAGATTTAATCATGTGCATACTTGGTTGCTTAGCTATGCAGCTCTCTTATCCACACACATGCTTTTTAAAGCCTGTAGCATCTGGAGTTTATAGATCTGCATCTAGGTTAGTTACAAAAAGCCTTCTGTGACAGAGCAGCACTGAAGCGTTTAGTAATGATGAAAACAGCCAAGACAAGCTAGAGTCTCTTCTTGGTGCACAAAGCTAATTTATCTCAACCTCTTTTTCTACAGCACGTGCCAACTTCTAATGTTATTGTTGTCTGTGTATGTTTTATCTCTCTTAATAGATTAAGATCTTTGAAATCAGAATCCATTCATCATTTATTTCGGTGTTTTGCCCATAGTAACTGCTCAATAAATGTTTGCTCAAAGTAATAACTAGTCTTTTTGTAAGCAGAAAGTAAAATTATTGGGTGAGACAACAAGAAACAAGAATTAAAGGCACAGGGGAAAAAAAAAGGCACAGCAGAGATTAAAGCACAGTTCTAGGAGCTGTGTTGTTTGGAAACGGTTTGAAAGCAAGGTCTGCAGACACTGGCGTCGGAGAAAGAGATGCCCACATGCCACTGTTACAGAGTTAAGGACTAGCACTGACTCGCCTACAAATAACTCCGTGTTCTCCAGGCAGTCCAGCGCCATCGGCAGCTTGGATCCCCTGTCTTAGCGCACGTGGATAATTCTACAAACGTGCTTCTGTACCAGTTTTTAAACGTACATACACAAAAAGGGAAAATGAAACAGAAACGAGTTCTTTTTGTTTTCCTGCCTGGACCAGACATCTTATACACATCCACAGACTTGCTGCTCCTCTTGGCAGCTGCTCATCTAATCTTTGAGAGCGAGGATGGGGACTTCTTTGTTATGCTGGTGTGTGGGATCCAGGGAGTGTTCAGTACAGTGGCCTCCTGTAGCTCAGCTGTCTCTGCGGAAAAGTGGCCCATTCAGAATGATCCACTAACCTTCAGGCTTTGTGAGGCACGTCCCTGTACACGATACAAATGCCATCATTTCCTTTTGCATCCAGTAACATTTACCCTAACACACCTCACCTTAGGACAGTCTCACTGGGAAAGCCATCATTCTGAGTTTTGCATGTTACGCTACAGTCATTCAGATAGTCTTGAACTCGGGCAGGGAGACACCCATTTATGAGTTTACTGTAGAGTGACTCTACTCCTTAGTTGCTCAGAACATTTCCTCAAACGAGTTTATTTCATGAAGACCCCAAGAATTTCTTATTGTGTCTGTCTTTATTAAGAAGTGACCAATGTCACCGTATCCACACGGCCCTGCCTGCTTACGCCCAGTTATAACGCCCAGTGTAGCAACCTCGGCAAGAACTGCAGGGGTCGTACCAAACAAACTTAGTTTCCTTTTCTTTACCCTGATGAAAGGTTGTTTTACTTTTTAAAAAATAATATTTATTGTGTGTATATGTTGTGGGACAGGATGTGTGCTATCCTGAGCTTGTGGAACTTGGGGATAACTTGTGGGAGTCCAGGGATAGATCTCTTGTCATCAGTCTGGTGATGGATGCCTTTGCCCTCTGGGCCATCTCACCATCCTGTTTTGCTTTTGGAAAGGCTCAGTTGTTTAAAGAACTGAGATAATATTATTGGAAGTAAGGACGATTTTGTACACCTAAAGTGATAAACCAAATCTGAGTTATTTCAGGTGCTAAGTGTGTATTTTGTTTTCAAAATTTGTAATTTTTCTCCATGATCTACTTAATACTTGTGTGGTTGTTTAAAGATTTATAAGAAAGTAAACTTCTTCTCTGTTTAGTTCACAGATGACCCAACTCTTGCCATTTGCAACGACAGCGGAGGCTCTGTTTTCGAACTAACATTTAAGTAAGAAACAAATGGACATTTGTTGAAAAAAAAATGGAAGATTTAGCTGTTTAATGGTTTGAAATTGAACATGGAGAGCTCTGGAAAGTCCAGCTGTTTCAGATAGGTTCTGGCTGTATTACAGTTACCTGGGGAGCTTACAAAACACGTGAGAGCCTAGACCTGGTCTCCATGACTTCTCTCAGGGCTGAGTTGGGATTCTAGACTCTGACTCCCCAGGAGACCCTTCTGTGCTATCAGGTTAGGCTATTCTGGGTAGTTCACTAATTGTAGTTTAGGCTCCAAGCCCACTTGCTTATAACTGTAACAGCTAGGTACAAAAAGGGTTTTCTTACCTTAGAATTGCTCTGTTTTACTTATTAGACAGGAGCAAAAATTGTCTAACTACCTGAAAGAATATTTGTGAAGCCGAGGTTTAAAAAATACAGAATACAATATATAATGTATATTTTGTTTCCATAGAGTCTCGTTAATGTCCATATTGTTTCTTACACTGGGCACAAAGTAATTGCTCAAACAGTATGACTCATTTGCCTGGGTAACATTTATTGAGCATGTCCTGTGTTATAGACACTTGTCTAGGCACCAGAGTTAGCGTTATGAACCAGGCAACGTCCTGACTCTTAACAGAATAGTTGGGGTGAGCCCAGAGAGAAGGCACAAACTGAAAAGTGAATGATGTAACTTGAGTAGGTTTGGATGGTGTGAAGAGGCAGACCACTGTGCCGACAAGCACAGTGACTATAACTCAGGAAGGCTTTGGTAGGAGGTGACTTTGGAGAAGAAAGAGCTGAATGGTCAGCAAGTCAGGAAGTGAAAAATCCAGTGGAGGTGCCCCAGGCAGAGAAGGCCAGGAGGTAGGCACAAGTTGGGGGGTGCGAAGAAGCCAGTATCAGGGACGATGCAGTAGGAGAGGAGTGAAGGCAAGAGCCAGATCCTGGGGAATTAAGACATGGTAAAGAGTTTGGAGTCTGTTTCATACAGAGGCCAATGTGGAGTGTCATTACTAGCAGATCTGTCCTGCTCAGTGAAAAGACTGCTGTCATGTGGACCGCTTAGCTGGGAGTGCTGTAGTCATTCAAACTGGAGGTGAGAGTGCCTTGCATAATCTCTAAACTGATTGCGAATGTCTTATGTTTTCAGGAGAGTGATGGGGGTGAGAACATGTGAATCTAGGTGTCTGTTCAGTGGCTCCAAGGGTGAAGTTTGCTGCATTGAGCCCCTGCATTCCAAGCCCGAGCTGAAAGACCATCCCATCACACAATTTTCACTACTGGCCATGGCGTCCTTAACAAAGGTAGGCATGCTTAGAAGACAGAGCTCCAAGTTTTTAGAGACTTTGAACACAGTTTGAAAATTGCAAGGTAAATATTGAAAATAATGTATGTTTTCTCCTGTAGATATTGGTCATTGGGTTGAAACCATCCCTGAAAGTATGGATGACTTTTCCCTATGGACGGGTGAGCAAGACTCTGCTTTTTTGGAAAAGGAAGAAGAAAGTCACGAGGATGCAGGGCGTGATCTGCGGGGTGAAGTCTGTGCAGTTGTCCAAAAGTCTAGCTAGGGAGTGGAAGCGAGCTCCCAGGGGATTTACCTAGGAAAACCGAGCAGGCTAAAGTGGTGTTTAGGAGACATGCTAGGACACACACAGTGTCTCTAATGTTTTAAGCATTTCTTTCATGAACACCATATTCAGCTTCTGTTTGTGACCTTGGTTCTATGGTCTCTGGTATTGCTGTCCTGGAGCTTTCATTCCCTGCTCTTTTGAGGTCAGTAAAACATCTTCATTGGATGTACCACTGACGGGCAAGCTGGCACATGCAGTGCAGCCTTGCCACAGTGTCTAAGGACAGTGTGTGACAGCCGTGCTGGGGTAGGGTTACCTCAGCATCTGCTGCTTTGACACCATGAATGAGCACACCCCACTGTAAAGCCAATATGAATTGGTACTATCCATGCTTCCCATGGATTCTGTCTCTGGTATTTGTCACTGTAGAAGATGTTATTTTTTAGGAAGCGCACATATGTTTTTAAGGGTTTTTGCATCTGTGGATATGACCAGCCACACATCATAATCAGAAGTTTACCTTTATATTGAACATGTACAGACATGTTTCTTGTCATTTTTTTCTAAATGAGGCAGCATAGCACCTGTTTTCATAGCATTTATATTGAATTGTTAAGTGTCCAAGAGATACTTTAAAGTACATGGGAGAATGTACATAGGCTATATGAAAATATTTTGCCACTATATGTAAGGGGTAAGCCTGGAATAAATTCCCTGTGGATATTCCAGTTTCTCTTTTTCTTTGTTCTTGATATTGTATGTAAGAGAGTTGGCATCTTCTTTGGCAGGGCATTGATGAGATTGTCGTTGTCTTAGTTACTTCTGTGCTGCTGTGATGAGACACCATGACCAAGGCAACTTGTAAAAGAAAACATTTAATTGGGAGCTTGCTTACAGCGTCAGGAAGTAGTCCATGGCCATCATGGTGGGAAGTGTGGCCACAGGCAGACAGGCATAGTGCTGAAGCAATCGATGACTTTTACATGTGATCCACAAGTTGGAGGCAGGGCGGGGGGGGAAGAGAGAGACTGGGTCTGACATGGGCATTTGAAACCTCTAAGCCCTCCTAGTGACACGCCTCCTCCAACAAGGCCACACCTAATCCTTCTCAGACAGTTCCACCAAGTAGAGACCCAAGAAGTCAAATAACGTGAGCCTGGGGTAGGGGCACAGTTCTCATTCTAGAAAGCATCCACCCAGATACTGAGGTTCTTGTTTCCTTGTTGGTGTACTGTTGTATCTCAGCACTAAGAGAAGCAGGTCTGTCCTTCCAGATGACAAACCCGTAGAGATTATCATTAATGTTTCTGAGGTTAGTTTCATTGACTCACTGAGGTTTTAATCAATCATGATATTTTTATCTTTTTGTATGTTTTGTTGATTTTTTTTTACTTATGAGCATTTTCAAACAGATGTTGAAAGGATTTTAGTGACATCCTAGTATTCTTGCCATCTAAGGTCTACTATTACCACTTTATTGTACTGCCTTTATCACATATCTGTGTATTTGTGCATCTTTCTACGCACCAAGATATTTTATTTTTAAATGGACTTCAGGGCTGGATTACAGAAACCAGGGCCTTCTGCTTTGGGCATTCAGCATGTATATAATTCGCTAGAATTTTATATTTCTTTAGGTCTTGTTGGTATAAACTTATTTACAATAACTATACAGATCTTGAGTTTTATTTCTTGGACAGATGCATGTACTCTTATAACCCAACCCCAGCCAAGATAAAACTTACAACCACCAACCCAGAGAGTCCCTTGTGACACTTCCCACCAGCCCCTGCTTATTGCAAGTTTTGTTGGAAATCAGGGAAGGTTTTAGCAAAGAGACAGTCAGATTTTTTTTTATTTTTATTTTTATTTTTATTTTACTTTATCCTTCTGTTTGTCACCTGTGATGAAGTATTTCCCCATCTTTTCTTTTACTTAGATGGACCCTTCCAGTGTTCCGCTGCTTGCCTGGCACTTCGTGGCGGTGAATAACTGTGTGAATCCCATGCTTGCCTTCTGTAGAGGAGATATGGTTCACTTTCTCCTGGTAAGCCAGTGTGAGGGTGGGTCTGTTGTAAAGCTTTGAAAAACATTTTTCCCCCAGATTCACTGGTGAATTAATGTTGTGTCAAACAAACAAACAATCCCAAACCTATGTCACTGTCGTAAGTCTTTGGAGAGAGAGTCTGTGTAGCCTGTTTAATTTGTATTTAAGGCTTTAATGTTAAAAATGGAAAAACCTTGAACTCTCCTGGCTTCTTCATCTTCACAGTTTACTTCTTGGTTCCTTCTCCTTCAGCTAACAAATAATTAGTGGTTTGTCTGTATGTGTGAATTGCATATGTATGATTGAGAACATGTCTGCAGTAATGCAGTCTGTACATGTCTGTGCGTTTATTTGTTAGAGAGCAAGTACGATTTGCACAGGAAGTCAAAGAAAGAGGTGTAAAACATTCTTTTACATAGCTTATGTATTGTTTGAAAGAACAGTTGAGGTGCTGAACTGTTTGAGGAGAATGAAAGTTGCTAACCAGAGCTCCCAGAGTTAGAATGTTTAGCGAGGAAGTGAGTTTTTATGTCTTGTTTTTGAAGATTTATTTTATTTATTTATTATACATATATACCAGAAGAGGGCACCAGATCTCATCATAGGTGGTTGTGAACCCCCATGTGGTTGCTGGGAATTGAACTCAGGACCTCTGAAAGAGCAGCCAGTGCTCTTAACCGCTGAACAATCTCTCCAGCCCCTGAGGGGGTGAGTTTTTAAGGCTTGGCGGGGAAGGCAGTGACCTCAGTCACAGAGCAAAGTGCGTGCCTGTGTGGTCCCACTGGGGGTCTTGCCCAGTGATGCAGGCCCACCACTGCGCACCTCACTTCTCCAGCCAGAACCGTTCCAGGTGCCCTTGCCCCCTTCACATGTGCTCTCTCACAGTGTCCTTCCTGCATGCTGTCTTCACTTTCGTCCTTCTGACCCCTTTCTGGTTGATACCGCCCCAGTGTAAATCACACACGTGTTTGTCCTAGACTCTGCATGGCTTCCCAGCTGGCCTCTGCTCACACAGACACCTGTCAGCAAAGCTCTGTGCACGCCTCCTCTTGTCCTACTCATGGCCAGCACTGCCTTCTCTGCCTCCCTGAACCTGCTCTGCACTTTTGAGGCCTGTCCTAACAGTGAGCACGTAAAGCCTAGCCTAACACTCTCTTCCTCACTAAACTGAAAGCCCTCCTGCTTAACTAGCACTGGGCCAGCACCTGTGTGTAAGGACCGTTGGTAAATATAGAACTGATCTTAGGGAGAGTGTAAAATTAAATCTATGGGTGGATTTAGATTAGAGTGGGGGAACTTGTGACCCATCTACCAAATATGCGTACTTAGCTATTTCAGTAAGTAAAGTTTTAGTGGAATATAGTCATGTGCATTCGTTTATGTTTTAATTAACTCGTTAATTATGTTTTTTTGAGACAAGCCCTCAGATAGGCCACACTAAGGCTGGCCTTTGACAGCCCCCTTCCCCCGTTTTCCTGCCTTTACTTCTCAGGTTCTAGGATTTTAGGTGTGCCGTACAACACACACCCAGCATCCATGTTACATATGATTGCTTTCTTCTTTTACTTTTACTTTTTCAGGTTAGATTGCAATTTAATTTCTGCTTGTCCTTTCCTTAAGATCTCCAGATTCTGCTTGCATAGAAGTCCAATACCTAGCACCTTCTCCCACTGGGAAAAGGAACATTCTTCTTCAAAAAGAGGGAGGGTAGGGTAGGGCAGGGCAGGGCAGGGCAAGGGTAGTTTCTAGAGAAAGCAAGGGTAAGTAACTTCTACCAGATAGGGGCAGAGGGCATGAGATCTAACTTGAGTGTCCTGCCTACTTCAAGAAAGAAAACCAAATAATGGCAAATGCTGAAAGCTGGAATCTTCTCAAGTTGTTTCCACTTTCTGCTTGGCATTCTAGAAGGAAACCTGTAAGATACACACAATCAGTGCAGTAGGAAACAGAGTATGAGGGCAGCATGGACGAAGCCAAGAAAGGTGCAGCTGTGGCAGTGCCCAGGCTTCCCTGGCTCCCGCACAGCAGGTCCTGTGTGCTGATGTGCCGTCATGATCACATAGGCTAGTTATGGGGAAGGTTACTGCTAAGCATGAAAATGACAAGCCCCTGGGGTCACCGTGAGATGACCTCAGAGCAGGTAGTGCAGAGCACAGCAAGCACACGGTTCCCAAGAAAAATGTGCCTAAAATACAAGGACCTGGAATGCTCACGCAGGCTCTGGGCACTGGAGTCCAAGTTCTGAAAGCTGCCTTTGCTGTCACTGCAGCTGTCATCTCTGTCCAGGTTCTCCTGCTGACAGGCCTCTTCAGAACCAGGGAGTGTGCTGCCCTGGTTCTCCCTGGAACCCAGCACCACATAGCTGCGCTTCTTCAGCACCATCTGCTATCTCAGCTCGTCTGCTGTCTGTGAGAGGTCTCTCTTCATAGCGTCTGCATCTTCTCCATCTGCATAGTGCTTGGGCTCCACCTCACTAACCTGGACGTTCAGGGCTGCTTGTTTGCACTTCTTGACATGTAAGGACACATACTTGACATTGAAGTTCTTAGTCATGGCCCATGAAGCCTGGTCCATCAGCATCTGGGCCAGGCTAAGGTGCCGGTGGGAGTGTTTCACAGCCAGTGAGGTGATGGGTTCATGAGGGACATCATCAGGATCATCTTCCACTTTGGCCAGGACATAACCCACAATCTTCCCATCCTCATCCTCAGCAATGTAGGAGAGCTGGGGCGAAGACAGGCCATGATAGAAACAGTGCCTCATCTGGGAGTTGTCAGGAAGGCACAGGAGGTTGCAGCATTGCCTCTTCATCAGGTCATCTGGCCGAGCACGGCGGATGTTCATATTGGCGGCAGATGGGCTTGTCAACAGTCAGAGAAGATTCCACGGAGCACAAGTGACACCATCACCATTTGCTTTAAACACAACTGGGATATCCAAGCAGGACTTGTACAAGATGAGGAAGATCTCCCACTGTCTTTCATTTCTTTTCGGCGATGCTGTATAAACCTTGTTCATCGTCATGCAAGTGGAGTCCCAGTAGTGTCTGGAATGAATGACGACCACAAAGTCCTTCTCTGAAAGGATGGCCTGGTCTACCTGCCAGCCATTGTGCAATGCGGAAGCATGTATGACATCTTGAGCAGTCCTGTGAGACCAGAAGCCTCGAGCTGCTGGGGCCACATCGGGCGACCTTTAACCTCCCATATGATTGCTTTCTATCTGCAGTGCTAGGATTCTAGGTGTGCAGCTTACATGTTACATATGATTGCTGTCTCTCTGCAGTGGTGGGGTTAAGTAGGACAGACCATGTGGTCTGCAGAGGCTAAAATATTTGCTGGACCACCCTTTACAGAAAAGTTTGATAATTCTTGATTGGGCATCTCTGATCTAGGTGATTGGCTTGGATTGGCAGTGGGAGGCAATGTTATAGGTTCCTAGGTACATAAAGTGGTAAAGATGTAATTAAGATGCTACTTTAAGATCAGTCTAGAAGTAGTGCAGATAATAGATTACCGAAGGTAGGAGGTTGTGTGTGTGTACGAAAGCCAGTGTAATGTTCTTAAGCAAATACATTTTAAAAGAAAGGCAAGCTCTCGTCATATAGGGTCTAGGAACCAAAAGACATGACTTAGAGACCTCACATCTCTATATGGCAGAGTCAGAAAGTATTCAGAAAAAAAAACTTAGTGTAGAAAATGATTCCGATTCCATCATGCTGAGCTGGGCATGAAAGTGGGACTCTCAAGTGTTAATCTGGGGGTGCCCAGTGTAGACAGCAGAGCGAAGAGCAGGTGAATATCACTCCTGTTAGCTACTATGCAGCACAATAACTACAGCCATTGACATAAGGATATGGGTTCATTTGGGCTCACGTCTCAGAGGCCTTGGTCTTTGGGTACGTTGGCCTGTGACCTTTGACCTGTAGGAAGGTGCTACATCCTAGTGGGTGCATATAGTAGGGCAGAGCTGCCCACCTTATGGTGGCTAGGCAGACAGAGAGAGAGGTGGAGGGTAAGAGGGAGAGAGGAAGATGGAGGGGGGAGGGCAGGCACAGTACACCGACCTGATTTTGATCCAGGAAGCACTATGTTTTGAAGATGCTAACATGCCCCTCAAGTGATGTAACCAGGTCTTTAACATACATATCTTTGGTGGAGACTTAACTGAAGTACATGATCCTGCTGGTCACTCAGGAAAGGCAGAGGAAAAAGAAAAGGCAACAGGAAGGGTGGTTCTTGTAAAGGCATGCAGAAGGGGAGGAGAAAGGGGCTGAGGGACAGTATCAGTTGGAAAGTGATACAGAGTTAGAAGACAGTCAGGAAGGAAAGCTAGAGAGTCATGCACTGGACACAGTGAGTGGTTTGCGACGTCCTTGCAGATATCCTGTTAGCAGTGGGATGGGTGGAAGCTCCATGGCGGAGCTCGATAAAGAACTGGGTTCTGGAAGAGTGAAGCCCTGCCACCCAAATGCTCGGCTGTGAGGTGAAGGGTATGGTTAAATAATGTCTGTGAGAAGCAAACTGAGGGAAGCCTTTTAGGGAGTGTTTTTACATCCTTTTTATGTCCTTAAGCAAATACATTTTAAAAGAAAGGCAAGCCTCTCATTATATGTGTCTTCTTTTTGAAGACAAAAGAAACCAGAAATATGTTTGAAAGTGAAAGAAGGAAGCATATCTTTAAAAGGAGCAATTGATGGAAAGGGAGGGAAGACATTAAGCAGGTTGGGGACAGGGCTGGGGTAGTGTTTATGTGGGAGAGCTGTAGAAACCATTGGGTGTAGGTGGTGCTTGGCGTCCACCAGTTTATGGGACCCTTTGTACCTGCAGCATATAAAGCACAGCTTGGTGCCACAAGGGTGAAACAGAGAGGCCACTGACTCTGTCCTCATGGCTGTGGCCAGAGCTCATGTGCTCATGGGCACCACGCCAAGAGATGCAACTAGAGGGGAGGGAAGGAACTGAGACCTGGAAGAAAGACCTCTGTCACACTGTGGGTGTTCGGGAAAATGCAGGCACCTCAGGTGCCAGGCGGTCCTGTTGCCGTTCTTCTGGAGTGGTGATCATACGGGAGTTGAAGCTTTTTCATTTATATAATAATGTCTCTATCAATATTTTTGGTTTATCTATACTGAATGGGAATCATATTCTGGGTGGAGTATAAATATTTTAAATTCTTTCAAGGAGTACTTGATATCCAGGCTGTTTTCACTCTTACCATCAGGTTAAGAGAGACGAGTCAGGTGCAATCCACGTTACCAAGCAAAAGCACCTTCACCTCTACTACGATCTGATCAACTTTACGGTGAGTATGACTTAAACCACATCCCCACTGATTTCATGCAGTTGTATCGAATCCCTGGCAATTAAAGCTTCTGCCAGGACCGTTGTTAACGTACACAGGGCACATGAGAATGCATGCACCACAGAAGCGCTGTGGTGTGGCATGAAGTCTGGCTTGAGTGTCTTAATGCCCCAGAGGGGAGTTTGGGTTGAGAACCCAGATCTTTCCAGTGGTTACACTGCTTTGTGTAGGGGCATGTTTGTACTTCTGAGCTTCTCTTAAAGGGTTTAGCATGTGTTACCTGTTACTTTTTGGTGACTAAAATGTTACCAAGTTTTCTCTCTACCTTAACTCTCAGACCTCAGGGTGCCTTGGTTTAAAAAAAAAAAAATGAGACTTCTTTCTGTATCAGAGTTTATATTTTGTTTTTTAGTAGTGGGTTAATTTTGATAATAGTATGTTTAATGTTTCTGGGTATTTATTATTACTGGCTGTAAGTACCTAATAGCTGATGTTCAGTGAAACATTGTATATCTATAGCTGGCTTTAATTTTAATGTAGTGGTACATTTATCCAGTATAAAAGACTAAAATTTTTTTCCTTCAATTCAACAATATATCATGTTTTAGAGTATAGTTGTTATAGTCAGATTTTAAGAAATAATATGCATAATGATGCATAAATTTAGTTGTACATTGCATTTTTCAGCCAAGTCTTTTTACATTGCTTCAGTTGGCCCAGAACTTTTGGGCTCAAATATTCCTCCTGCTTCAACTTCTCATAGGCCAGGACTCTAACAGTACACCACCACGCCTGGCTCACCCTGTGTTTGTAAACCCACTCATAGTCTATTGATTTAAAAATACAGATTGAACATGCTGTTGTAGTTACCTTTGTACTGCTCTGACAAAGCATCATGACCAAGGCAGCTCATAGAAGAAAGCGTTTAGTGGGGGCTTACAGTTTGAGACAGTGGTTCCATGACCATCATGGTGAGAAGTGTGGCAGTGGGCTGGCAGGCTTGATGCTGGGGCCGTGGCTGAGAGCTCACACTGGATCCATGAACTGGAGGCAGAGAGAGCTAACTGGGACTGGTGTGGACATTTGAAACCTTGAAACCCACCCCCAGTGTGGCATCTCCTCCAACAAGGCCACACCTCCTAATCCTTCCCAAACAGTTCCACCAGCTGGGGACCAAATATTCAAATATATGAATGGCCCCTGTGGGCCCGTTTCTTCTTCACACCACCACGCATTCTTAATCCGAGAAGACAAAAGCTGAAGTGCTCCAGAATCTAAAACCTGGAGGATCAAGATGGAGGATTCTGCACTTGACATCATGTAATGATGTAGTCATGTAATGAATTGTAATTGCAATACAGTGCATTAAAGTACCCTGTGAATTAGTCAGGGTTCCCTAGAGGAACTGATAGAGTGAATATATATATTTAAAGGGGTTTAATAGAATGGCTGTGGTCCAGCTAGTCCAACAATGGCTTTTTACCAACAGAGAGTCCAAGAATCTAGTGGTTGTTCAGTTCACAAGGCTGGATGCCTCAGCTGGCCTTCTTTTAAAGTATACATTATTTCAGTGCCAAGAATTGTCCTCAGAGCATCTAAGTTTGTGAGATTTAACTTGCTCTTTTGCTTCACTAATATAAAAAAATTGAAAATAAGTTTGTTATTGTACTAAGGTCATTTGTGTTAATATGCCTTCAAAAAAAAATCTTGTGAAAGATCCAATATTCTGTAATGTATTAGAATTCTTAGTCAGCCCTCCCTTATGCGAGCAGAATGTCATCTGACCGTGAAACTTAGTTCTGTTTCTCTGGGCCATCACAGCTGCTCTCAGTGTAACTTTATTGCTGTGTAAGATATTGGATGCATAAGGCCCTCGATGCCACGTGCTGAGTGGCCAGGCCCTTCCCTTTGGTCATGAAAGGGTCCTCACTTCTATTTTGTTGTGTGCTTGAATTGCAGTGGATAAACTCACGCACAGTTGTGCTTTTAGACAGTGTGGAGAAGCTGCATGTGATTGATCGGCAGACGCAGGAGGAATTGGAGACAATGGAGATCTCAGAAGTCCAGCTGGTCTACAACAGCAGCCACTTCAAGTCACTGGCCACCGGAGGAAACGTTAGCCAGGCATTGGTGAGTGCCAGCTGGCCCCAGCATGCTCTCCTCACCAGGCATTGGTGAGTGCCGGCTAACCCGAGCACTGCTCTCATCACCATGGTGGGGTTTTGTTTTTGTTTTTTTCCGGCCACTATTTTGTTTGAAAATAGGACTACTAAGGTTTTTCTGCCTTGGTGTATTGAAGTGGGTATGGGTGTGTTTGCAAGGATTCAGCATTGTGACCCTAACAGTAATTTCTGTTACGTAATACCAAGGAGTAGGCTGGAGAGATAGGTTCGGGGTTAGGAGCACTTTCAGAGGACCTGGGTTCAATTCCCAGCAGCCATTTGTCAACTGACAGTTCCAGAGGGATGCAGTGCCCTCTTCTGACCGCCGCAGGCACACGGTGCGCCCACAGGCATGCGCCCACACGCATGCAGGCAGAACACCCAATACATAAAAGAAAAATAAATCTGAAAACCCGAAGGAGTTCTAATTTTTATGCCTAAGAAAAAAAATGAAACAATTTTTTTTTGTGAGAGAGAATTGGTAAAATTGAAGTATTTTAGGAATTGAATTGGTGACAGTAAGCCTAGTAGATTAAAGGGAGAATAACTGGAGACATGTAGGCTCCTAGGCTTTGGAAGCATTTGCGAGATATGCCAAGATCCTGGCCAGGTGTTGCAGCTTGGGGCAGTAAGAGGCAGAGATGGCTTGGAGAGGAAGGAAAAGATTCGTTAGACTCGGAGGAGGAGGAGGAAGAGGAGGAGGAGGACGACGACAACAGGGTTTATGCTGGTATTGCTGTTTCTGTAGAAAAGCAGTTGCAATGGTGCTGTAGGCAATTTCTGTAAGTAGAGTGTAGTTCGGCACTGCGAGTTTGTGAGCATGTGTTTCCTAAGCCGTTCATCTTTAAGTAGAAAAGTGGACTGCTGTAAGCTATCTGTGGGAAACTTCTTATAAAATACAGTAATAACGATCATCTTTAACAGGCGTCTACAACACAGTCTGTAGGTTTTGCTCGAGTCTTTCTCCTGTTTATAACTTCAGAGCATGATACATGCGAAGGCAGTTCTAGCCCCACAATGTAAAAACCAGGAAAATTCAGAATAAGGAACGGTCATGCCGAAGACTGCTCTAAGGTAACAGCAGCCAGTGTCTCACAGGCAGGCATTTCCTGAGGTAGATGGCTGTGAGGGGCTGGAGAGATGGCTCAGTGGCTAACCAAGAGCACTGGCTGCTCTGCTAGGGGACCTGGGTTTGAGTCCCAACACCCACAAGGTAGTTCACAGACACAGGTAACGCCAGTCCCAGAGGGTCCGGCGCTCTCTTGCTTCCTTGGGAAAGAGGCGTGCGCACAGTGCACATACGCAGATGCAGGCAAAACATTCACACGCAAATGAAATAAATGAGTCTTAAAGAGAATGCTGTTACCCTTTAAACTTAAACTTTTAGTCAAGATAGAGAATGGGGAATGAGATTTGCTTTCCTGCTTAAATTACCAAAAAAAAAAAAAAAAAGTTCCACACTTCTACCAATTAGGAACAAAACAGATAGTTTTTAAGACAGTAGACATCAGTAATGATGGATAGCAAATCCTAGACCAGGGCAGGAAACAAGTGATCTGTGCTGATTAATTCTTTGCCTTCCAGTTGTCTGATTTTCTGGCTTGTGGCTTAGGGAAGAGGAACACAGTTAGACCTGGTAGATTCTGTCATCGAGGGCGCAGAGCTGAGGGTACAGGAAAAGAGAGGTGGTTCACGTTTGTGGCCGGCGCTGGGGCGAATCCTTGAGGAGTCCCCTGGAGTCTTCTGCTGACAGCTGCTCAGCAGGTGTGTGTAAGGACAGGAAGAGCCACTAGAAAGGCTTAAGGGGAATCATATCCAGTGCTCCCTCAATCGTACTGTCTGCTTGTGGGCAACTTCATGAGTCCCTGGGCACTGGCCAGAGTACTCGGGGCCATCACACCTGAGTAGTCACGTTTGAAGCAGAGAACCCACTATATTGGTAAATACAACAGCTCTTAAAAGCGGGATGAGAAGGATCAGACTGGGGTTGGAGGTAGTCTTAGTGGCACAGTGCTTTCCCAACGTTTGAGGTCTGGGTCCAATACTAGAATAGAAAGCAAGCAAACAAGCATACCCAGAGGCAGGGAGCAGAGCATGACACGAGACTAGAACACAGAAACTTCTAAGCACCACCAAGCAAAACTTACAGTCTGCTTTGATTAGAGATCACTCAGTATTCAAAGAGGGTGGAGAGCACAGTTTGAAAATAGGGGAAAGATTAGTTTGTGGTTCTCCTCCTGCCTGGGGGGCTGTCTCTTAACCAGCGCATGAAGTTAGGAGGGGCACAGGATGACACCAGGCTGGAAGGGCCAGCAAGCACTGTACAGAGATCAGACACTCCAGGAACCACTTCAGGGAGCTAGTTCAACTTTAATTCCAGGGGACAAAGGCTATGTACCCCTTGGGGAGTGGACGGGGACTCCAAGGATAGGTGTGCATAATTGATTGGAACTAGGCAATTCAAGGATGCTTGATTTGCATTAAACAGCACACTCCTATAATACGAACAGGAGCACAGTACCTAAGTATCCTATAGATGCAGGGAAGTGAGAGCCAGCAGGGAGCTGTAGTTAGGGGCATCTATGTCTAGAGACACCCTCCAGATGGAGTCAGGCAGAGAGCGGGAGGCCCTGCTGGGGAGAGGGAGTCCTGCATCTTAACACCACACTCAGAAAGGCTCTCTGGACTGGGAGGACTGCAACCTAGGACAGTAGGGTCCTTCCAACATTAGTTAAAACCAGCTCAGGCCAGTTCTCTTGTTTTGTATTAATTTTTAAAAAGTTAATATAACAATAACAGTTTCAACATGGTTGTCTGTACATAGATTTTGTTATGCTTTGTTCTCAGTCCTTTCCCTCTTCTCCTCCTCCACTCTCCCTTTCTCTGGCTGGTTCCCTTCTGTTTCCATATTGCATGTTGTCCTTTACCCTTTACTTTCCACCTCTCTTCCTGTCCTCTCATAATTGCCTTTCTGGTTCTGTGGCTTATGAGCACACATAAATACACACACATACAAATACACATAGCCACATAAGCACACACATAAAAATACACACACATAAACACATACACGTGCAAAGACACACACATAGGTAGGTACGCACACATGCAAATACACACACATATATGTAAACATTTAAACTTAGGTTGTGCATGTAAGGGAAGCCGTGTAACTGATCCTTCTGGGTCTGACTTGTCTGACTTAGCATAATGATTTCCATTTGTACCCACTTTCCTGCAAATGCCATGATTACATTGTTCTTTAAGGCTGCATAAAATTCTCCACGTGTGTGGACCTTATTTTCTTTATCCATTCACCTGTTGAAGGACAGCTACGCTAGTTCCATTTTCTGGCTATTGTCAATATTGTGACAACAAATATGGGTGTGCAAGTCTCCGTGTTGTGTATACATTAGGATCACTATAGTCCATATGTTCGTAAAGTTAAGTGAAGACATGGACGCTGCTTTAAAAGATGCAGGCCAGATAGCTAGTGGAGAATACGACAGTGTTCGAGAGAGAAGTAGAGCTGCTGCAAGAGACTGATGGCCGCTTAAGAGACGTAGAATGAAAGATGAGCGAACTTGAGAGAGTGGTAGAAAGGATGCAAGATGAGCTTTCCTGGAGAAACCTATGGTGCCAGCATTAAGGTATGTAGAATAACATGTCACCACACAGTCTGGTGGCCTTGGTCAGAGCAAGCCAGTCATGAAGATCACCAGGCAGGAAATGGACAAAAGGCATGTTGGCTTCTTTTGGCAGTTTTAAGGTTGTGAGCCCTAGGAGATCCTCGGCACTTGCTGTCAGGTAGTGCTCCTCGGCCATGTTCAGCTGCACGGACAGCTGCCCTGGTCCCTCCTGGGGACACAGCTATGCATCATGAGGTGTGTGTGAAAGGAGCTAGAAATTTCCCATTGCAAGAATATAGTGAGTGGATCAGAAGTCTGCTGTCCATCATAGAAGATGGAGCTCCTCGTTCTCCTTGAGGACTACTTTCCATAATACTGGAAGGTACTATCCAAGCTGCTAAAGAAGGAAAGCCTTCAGTAGCCTACCCAGCTATGACACCTATGAACCATAACAGTGACCAGCGTGACAAGATACCCCTAAAGGTACAGTAGTGGCACTCATCTATTGGTGGTAGCCAGCAGCTGTCCAATTTGACGTAAGACCCACTCAGCAGATCCGAAATCCTGCCTGGTAGTGAAAATCCACTATTCTGCATTACTTCCCATTTTCCTCTTGTGTTCTATGTTATTTGTTGCAAAGGTCTTGGAGGCATCATGTCAACCAGCTCCGTTCCCTGCGGAAAGCAGGGTCTGCCTGTCACCCAGTAAGTGGCAGGTGGCAGTAGTTCGCCGTAAGATTTTCAAGTTAGCATATTTCCTTCCTCTCCTGCATTATTCTGAGAATGAAAAAGGCTGTTTATAGAAGTGAGGAATGACTTCTTGAACTTTGGTTTTTCAGTCACTTCCACTGGCAGTCAAGCAACAGATTTTTTTTTTTTAACTTGTAGGTTAATAATAGTACATTGACCTAAAATGTGTCTACATTCAGCATTCTTCTAAAACTTTTTTTTTGTTATTTGTGTGTATACAGCGGTGTGTGTGTGGGGGGGTCAGAGGACAACTTTGTGGAGTCACTTCTCTTCTTCTACCGCTTCAGGGATGCTAGCCCGCTGAGTCTCTCAAAGTCCCTGTAATTGCCATTCTTAATTAAACTTCCTGTATGTGTAGTTTGAGCTTGCTTGTTTGCTTTACAGGCTTTGGTTGGAGAGAAGGCTTGTTATCAATCCATCAGTAGCTATGGTGGTCAGATCTTCTATCTGGGGACAAAGGTAAGCTCTTTCCACTCCACTCAGAGTGTCATCAGGATAGCTTAGGAAGAAGGTTGTTGATAAAGAATAGTACGTTTGCAAAGTGAATTCTGATCAGCATTGGCCCAAATTCTATAATAGTTATATAACCGGGGATTCTTAGTTATTTAATTTTTCTTTTTCACTCACAGTCTAAGTGAAAATAAAGAGACTTCTTTTCTTGATTCAGGGATTATTTTGTAGTCTTTCTTAACATTTGCTTTAGTAAACATGTATCTAGTTTCTTTTTCAATTAGAATTTTTATGTCGTGCTTTGATCAACATGTACATCGATAAGTGATTATCATAATAGGCTAATTAAATACCACCACCTTGTTTAGTCTTCATTTATGTGGGGGAATGAGGATGCTTAAGAACAGCTTCCTCAGGAAATTTCCAGGTGATATGCAGGTTCTTTTCCTGCTGCTGTGATTAATGCTCTGACAAAAGCAGCTTAAGAGAGAGAGGGCTTATTTTACCTCACAGTTCATGTGAAACAACTGCTCATGTTGTGTTCACAATCAGAAAACAGAGTCATGCACACAGCTGCTTGGTTCCTTTTCTCCTTACGTAGTTCAGGCAAGGATCCTGAGCACAATTAAGATGGACCTTCCCACATCAGTTAATGTAATCAAGATAATCTGCTACAAACATGCCCAGAGGCCCTTCTCTCATGTTGACAATTTACACTAGATGCCACAACCCGGAAGGACCTAATTATAAAATGTTCTTTAGCTTGGATCAACTTAAGATATTAAAGTGCATTGCGGTGTTTGGCTTAGAATAACTGGCATTAGAACAATTTAAAATAAATTAACATGAAGTGGACAATTTTCTTCATCATTAAAGTTCAGCCAGAACATTGCTCGGTTGTCTGCGTTTCCTTTGAGTGTTTGTTTCTTCCCTTTTCAGTGTGGGTACTCAGGACCCTTTAGTAAGTTCAGGTTGTATTTCCATCTGAGATGTGTGGTGGGTTCACCTAGAGATTGAAAATGAGATGTTTGACTGGAATCATGCCTCCCAGCAACTCTGCTAATGGCCCTCTTCATTTGCTTTCTGTTCTCTAGTCTGTTTACGTGATGATGCTCAGGAGCTGGAGGGAGGTGAGTTCAGAGTGACTTTCTGTGTGGGAAGTGAAGTGGGAACAGTTTCAGTTTTCTTGACTTTGCAGATTGTAGTTTCAGAAGGATACTTAGAAGCCATTTTAACTGTCAGGTACTCCATTTGCATTTGCGTTTGGCACAGCTGTGACTGTCCCAATAACAGAGAACACAGCCTGAGGAGGAAAAATGCTTTAGTAACTGGTGATGGAAGGGGGAGCTCTCTTTGTGTAGTAATGCCTTATTTACAAGGAATAATCTGTTGTTCTAAGTTACTAAAACAAATTAGCGTTTCAAGATCAAAGCAGCACCACCAAGATTTATTCCCATTTGAAATAATCTAGAGATGGGCATTCTGTAGCTAGTGTGGGAGCTCCATGCTTTAAGCCACCATCCCTTTTCACCGTCCTTGTGTTTAAATTCTGGTCTCAAGCTCGCTTCATAACCCAGGATAGTTACGTCCAGGTTCCATGAAGGAGAAAAGAGAAAATCAAGGCCAGCCTCAACTTCTAAAGTATACATTTAGAAATACCCAACCACACTTCCACTTGCTGACCAGAGTTTTGTCACATTACCCCGAGAAGTTAAAAGGGAATCTTAAATATTTCTCTCAGATGGTATATTTCTGTCTCTAGGGAGCTTGGAGCTTGTTATTAAGAAGGGGGCAGGTGGCTACTGTGCTAATGCCAGCTGTTTCCCCTGTGGTTGTCCTGCTGTTCCCTTTCCGGGTGTTGGCTCTCCCTCTGTCATCCATCACACAAGCCGCCCGGTACCACAGCGCCCAGTGGTTAACCACGCGTGTCACTTAGTCACAGTTCTGTAATACAGTGCTCATGCCCAAGCAGCAATGCTGTGAAGGTAGAACTCAAATTCTGATTGGTAGTTGGTCAGAAGGGTCTGGCATGTCTCGGTTGCTTATTCTAGAGAATGGATCATCTCCTGAAGCAGGATTGTGTCACGGAAGCCTTGGCTCTTGCGTGGTCTTTTCATGAAGGAAAAGCAAAAGCAGTGGTGGGTAAGTAGGTAAACAGATGCAGTGGGTTTGGAAGTCACTGTAGAGTCTCTCCATACGGGAAATTTACCTAGAGAACAAACCGGAAGCACACCTTGATAAGCTGCTAGTCTGGTGGGTGCGAGGCATTCCCATTACCCAGCCTTTTGATATGAGGCTTGTGGTAGTTGTATGTGGGTTTGGAGGAAAGACCAGGACCCAGGTTTCCTTCCGGAGCTGAGCCCTAACTTTGTTTCATGTTGGACTTTGTTTCTCTGAAGGGCTCTCGGGGGATGTCAGTAAGAGGAAGGCTGTTGTTGCAGATCGGGTAAGCATCTCAATGCTTTTAATATTCACACTGTCTTTGGGGGAGATCAGGCAAATGGCTATCCTCCAGGAAAGAAGTGGGTCAGGCTGGAGTTCCCAGGTATGGTTTGCAGCGCTCGCCTGTGAACACAGCAAAACAGTCGAGTACCAAGAAGGGATATGTGGGGACCCAGGTTCTCAGTGATGTGCCCATCCTCTGCAGGATGGTATCGCTGGGGCATCTACCTCCGGGTTTCCATTTCCTGAGCAACATAGGAGCACTGAGGCCTGGGCTATACAGACACTTATTAGGAAGAATTAGCAAATTAATATCAGGGAATAAGCCACTGAAATCCCAACTGTGTTTCTAGTACAGCAAAAAAGCATGATTCAGTATTAACCATACATGGTCAGTAATGAACAAATGTAGCCATACTCTTTGATTCTGATGCATGGCTGATTTTCTTACAGATGGTAGAAATCCTCTTCCACTATGCAGACCGGGCTCTGAAAAAGTGCCCAGACCAGGGAAAAATCCAAGTGATGGAGCAGCACTTTCAGGTACGCCTCTGCATGAGGGCTCACAAGTAAGCTGCAGATGCCTCACGTGCCTCTTGGCCTTTGTGCACATGATGCTCTCAGCACTCCACCCCAGGCCCTACCCGTGTGACTTTTAGGTTTCGACTAGTAAGCATTCGTTAGCGTTTCAGCATTTGCAGGGAAATCGTACAGGATTAAGTTTTAAAAGAAGTGTCTAGTTAGATAGGAAGAGCCAGGTGAACTACTGCTCACCGCCGTGTGGAGGGAGAGGGTTCGTGTTATGAAGGGACACCTGTGACTTGACACCTTGCTCTGGGTGACACCCTGCTAATGGCTCACACTTATGTCAATTAGGGTAGTTAAGGATCGAGCTGCTAAGGTTTAAATTTAGTTTCTGCAACACCTGTGACTCAGAGATATATAAAATAAATATATGCATGTATATGTATATTATAGCCTATACGATATGCTAATGAAAGATGTTTAGATTATCTCGGAGCTTAATGAAAATGCAAGCCAGGGAAGGGTTTAGAGATATGCATATGTATTAATGTTGGCTTTCCTATTTGCAGTGATCTCAAGTTATATTTGTTGTAAATCTATTTACAACACATTTCTACAGCAGTAGCTCTCCTTTCTCCCTGTATTGTGTGTGTGTATGTGCGTGTGTGTATTTATGTGTATAATTTAGGGTCTTTTACATATAGGGGCAAATTCTTTATTTTTTTAAAGATTCATTTGTAGATTTTATATGTATGAATGTTCTGCCTGCATATATGTACCACGTGCCCATAGAAGTCAGAAGAAGGTGTTGGTCCCTGGAACTGGAGTTACAAAAGGTTGCCAGCTACCATGTAGGTTCAGGGAACTGAACGCATGTCCTCTGCAAGGGCAGGGAGTGCTTTTAACCACTGAGCCATCTCTCCAGCCACATGGGGTATGGAACCACATTCCCTAGCCAATCTAAGGGCACAGATACTGAGTTCCAGGAACAGCAAACTTTTCTAAAAGGAACTAGATGGTAAATTGTAGTGTTTCTAAGTCACAGATGGTTTCTGTTACTCCTCTTCTTCTTCCTCCTCTTCTTGCTAGACATTGAACTGAGGGGCCGACACATACATAGCACACACTGTTCCACTGAGCTGCATGCTCGGTGGACAAAAAGCTCCCACCTCTTTTGTATGTGCCATGGTGTATGTGTAGACTCCAGAACAGTCCTAGAAATTAGTTCCCTCCACCATGCATGTCTGTGGCTCTAGCTCAGGTCACTAGGCCTTCACCTCCTGAGTCATCTTTGTAGTTTATGTGAAAGAAATGAGTTGGGAGGAAACCACATAGCAAAAAGAAAAGAATAATAACCTGTATAAATAAATATTTTTATGGGCCAGTCGAGGTGGCTCAGTGAGTAAAATACTTGAAGTGAAAGCCTGATGACCCGAGTCTGATCTCTAGAGCTCATGGGTTCTGACTCCAAAAAGTTGTCATCTAACACCCACTTGCAAGCTGTGGCACATGAATATGTCTTCTACATCCTGTACACATATGTACACAGACAATAACAAAAAATACATAGTAAAGTGTAGGTAGAAAAGACAAGTTTTAATGTTTTAGTAAGAACATACTTTACCAAGAGGTGGTAAGATGACATTCATTGAAAGAATGACTATTGGAGATTATGTGTTTTATGACAGAGAAAGAGAGAGAAAGTGAGAGCGAGAGAAAGAGAGAGAGAGATGTATTCGGAGACACACATAGTACAGTGTGGGACCAGGCATTCAGCACATGAACTTGTAGGTGAGGCTTCATATTCAAAGTATAACAATTTGTAAATCACAACATCTGCAAATATGGTGGGGTACTTACCCAAAGTTCGGTGCTAGAAGAACCTTCTAAGACTTCAGAGAGGAGAGTAATAAAGTTCAGATTTTTCCTACTAAAGTACTAATGGGTTTCAACAGCCCGACAAACAACTATCTATCCACGTAACCAACCTGCGATCATTGACAAAGATTCACTGAGCAAGTCTGCATGTACCCTCAGATAGCATGTAAAGTGTGTGACTGTCATATTCGTTGAATTCTTACAGTTTCACGAAATGTAGCCATCCTTGTTGTCCTCTTTTCATTTGAGGAAGCTTAGAGGTTAGGTTGCTTTCCATCATAGGGCTGTTGCTGAAGTGGTGAAGCCTGGACTCAGATCTGAATCTTCATGACTTCAAAGGCCAGCTCTAAACAGCCGTTGTAGTGCTGCATTCAGGACAGACAAAACATAGATAAGCAGGAATGAGTTAAGTAGATAGTCATGAGTGATGATTCATGGCTGGCTGGGGCCTAGTACAGTGCTGGCCCCAAATACCAAATCTCAGGTTTTAGCTTCAGTGTTAGGTAAGAGGTAGCTCACACCTATAAACACAGCACATAGGAGGTAGAGGCAGGATGGTGGATCAGAAAGTCAAGTCGTCTTTGGCGATGTAGCAAATTCAGTGCTAACAGGCTACACAGGACCATCTCAAAATTTAAAGTAATTCTAGTTAACACTCGGTCTTTTGGTTTCTAAACATCTAATGCACATTATATGACACACCTTACAAACACTTTGCCTTGATCTGTTTAAAAAAAAAAAACAAAACAAAAACTAAAGCTAGCTACTTCATAAAGAAAAATAGATCCATTCAGCTCATTTTTTTTTCAACTTGAAAGCATAGCAGTGGTGTTTGGTGAGGGCTTTGTGGTAGATGGCATTGGAATGTCAGGGTGTGTTGAGTGTTGAGCAGTGCGTACAGAACAGTATTCCAACGGTTCTGGGCGCAGTTAACCAATCTGCTCTCATAGGCTCCTGTGAGGAAAACATTTATTTCTCTCAGAGACCTAATTAACCTCCCACCAGACTGCATCTCCTAAAAGTTCAACCATCATTCAACATCCCTACATCAGGGACCAGGCTTTGGGCAAGCCGGCTAAGTTTTGACAGAACCATATTAAAGCAATGCATCATTAATGCACATCAGCCACTTAGTTCTTAGGTAGGTGCTGTTAGCACACATCTTTATAAATGACATCGGGCACAGAGAGGTGCAGTAAATCGTCCCAGGTCACCTGGCTAGTAAACAATGAAGGTAGCATTAGAATGGAAGCGTGTGAACTTCGGGGTTTACACCTGCAGGGCTTGAGCAACAGTTCTTTTCATGCGCACAGAACATACGTGGAAAAGCCAAGGTAAATGTTATGTGTTAAGAGAAACTAGAGCTAGAGCCCAGCATATATGCAACATGTTTAGTTTCAGTGTAATCATTTCCATCTTCAGGTCAGGATTAGAACCCCAGCTGTTGCTGGAACACCGAGTCAAGATTAGTAATCTGGGAGTAGCTTTGGATCATATGGATGCCTAAACAACTGTACACAAAGATTTTTTTGGTGGCTTGTTATTAATTCTCTGTTAATGTTCTTTCATAATTTAAAATTTTTTCTGTATGATCAAGTTTATTGCCAGGGTGAAATAGGCAATTTTCAGTATATATTTTTCCATAGTACTGTGTATATGTAGAAGTGGCATTTAATACCCTTATTTCTACTGGAAGAGTGCTGATAACCCAACTACAGACTTGAGAGCGTAAAACCAGATCCAAGCCAAGTTTCTGTAGCTCTTCTGCCCCTTTCTACCAGTACCTAATGTCAAGCTCTAGAATTAGTCTTTACATATGTGCATATGTGTATGCAGTAGGTATGTGTATGTGCATAGCTTCATGCCCAAGTTTTTATTGGTGGTTTAAAGTATTGACGAGCCTGTTAGGTTAGATGGTACTAAGAACCATGATAAAAAATGACGTTGATAAGAACATCCAATCAAAATAACTATGTATAAACATAACAAGTTTAAACATTAGATTTAAATAAGTTTTGTTTACTGGATTCGAAAGATATAGCTAGATGAGTTAAAAAATAAATTTTAAACTTAACATTTATTCAGCCCCCAGTACTTTCCTAACCACCCACCACTCTCGTCAAGTGTCTTCTAGGCAGTTCTCTTTCTGTTTTCATGTGACCGCTGAGTTTAAATAAGGTGGTTCCTGTGTGCATAGGTTATTGACTGGAGGGAATGCCTCCCCTTCCCCCAGCAGCATTAACTACTAATCCTCATTGAAAGTGTGTCCTCATCATTGACGGTTCCGTCTGTCCAGATCTAGTAGCAGAGTCCCTGGTAGAGCCCATGACCTCTTGAGCCATGGGCTCTTGGCCAGGTTTACAGAACCAGAAGTGAATTTCTTCCTCCAGAGTAGCCGGAAATTAACCGGAAGTGGTTGGTTAACTCCTGACCAGTCACAGCACTGTTGTTCCAGGGGCATGTCCTGCTTGACAGGTTGGTAGCACAGGGGGTCCACACCTGAGTAAGGCTAAAGCACTCTTTCCTGTGTCTGGCTCTCACATTCTCTCTGCCCCTTCCCCCTGCGTGATGTCCCCTGAGCCTTGGCGGTGATGACGCAGATGCCTCATTTGGGGGTAAGCACTTCAGTGGCTTACTCTTAGCACGCGGACCAGCTGTGAGTGCTGCAGGAACTACCGCCCACTGCTCAAAGAAGCCTCTCTGACCAGTGCTGAGATGTGAGCAGCACATGTATGCGGGCCACTGGGCACATCTGGCCCCGTGGGCCTGTGTTTCAGCACACAGCATCCCCCTGTAGGTCTGTCTGAGCGGGCTGACATCAGGAGAAGGTGCTGAATGTGGAGAAGCACTTTGCACAGCTCCAACTGGCCGCTGACTGAGACCTGGGCATATTCGGTGCAAGTTTGCTCTTCATGTGGTGATTTTTGAGGCCAGTCTGGCTCCCTAGAAAGATGAAAGGGAGGATTGGGGAGAGCAGGAGGGAAGAGGGGAAGGAGAAAAGGAACTAGGAGATGGTGCATTTCAGTTTGAATGAAGCTGCTGACGAAACAGCTATTGGATTTATGCCTTTCTGTTGTTTGATGTATAGTAATGAAGGGAGGGAGGCTTCTGACTGGGAGGGGCATTTCTCTCTAAGTTTT